GCAGAACACCGAATGCGAAAAAAACAACTTGAAAAATAACTTGCAAACATTTCCATATTTAATGTTGTTTATCAAGTTTTTCGATCTTATAAAAAGAAGGCTTTTTCCCGCGCAGCTCAGATTTTGCAAGTGTCTCGGGTCGCTATCGTCTGCCGCTCTCTACCGCGTCGAGTTCGCTCGAGATTTCTAGCGCTTCTCACTGCCGCGACATTACGCGAAATACACGATCGCCATCCGCAACTGCTATATCTACTACTCACATTACTGTCATTGTCATTAGCGTGGTTGTATTTTGTCGGACTTAAAAACTTTGTGAAAGAAATCAAAAGGCCTTGCTCATCTCGAATTCACGACTCGACGTCCTTGCTCCTCCTGCTTCTGGCCCCTTCTCGACATTAATTCCCGCTGAAACAGTCGTAAAATATATATTGTCACGTGCTCCCGTGAAGTAATTAGGTCGCGTGAGCACGGATCAAACAAGAATACGGAAATCGCGTACAATTTCGGGGAGGGAAGGTGGCAGCCCTCCAGGATGCGCCCCTCAGGCGACCGACAGGGAGCGGCGACGCGAGACCTGGGCGCCAGACGTGCTCTAGGTCACGTCACTCGCGAAACGCACCGATTACGCGATAGCGCGAAGGAGATCCTTACACACAACGACCAAACGTCACTCCCGAAGTCGATCGCATGAGGGCCGACTGGCTCTACCTAACGGCAGAGGGGCAGGGCGAGGCCAAAGGGCGATGGGATGGCGCGGGGCGGGCGAAAGAATTTGTACTCCAAGTTAACAATAAAAATAATAACAAGGTTTATTGACCGTTTGGAACGGCAATAATAAGGTGGAAAAAGAAAAACAAGATAATACAGTTCGGCCAGAAAGATACGTGACGCGATCGATTCAACGCGCGGGGAGTCCAGCGGCGCGATAGCACTCCCACGTAGCAAAAGAAAGGACAAGAAACCGACATAAACTTCGGCTGGAAACGAAAAGAAACGCATATGAAACGCGACGGCGCGATAATACAATAACGTACGGGGCTCGGCACGACGCGAGTACCGAGGTCTAACAACAATTATTACCGCGAAAATCGATCGTAAATTTACGCGTCAGATACGCGTACGAAAACGAAGCTGACAGAAAATTGACGCACACCGATACACAAGGAAATCGCGCACAAGGTCACACTACAGCGCGACGCACGACCTCGTGATTCCGCGTACTCACACACACTTACTCTAACGCTCGCGCGCTCGGGCGCGAGGGCTTTGCGGCGAACTCGCGACGACGATCCCCGGGTGGCTCGATACGCGACTCGCGGTACTCCGGATCGCTCACGGCAGATTCGATGAAAATCCTCGCACTTGCGGACGGACGCCGATACGCCAAATCAAAGAGCACTACAATGTACGCGTCGCCAAAGGGGCGCACGCGACGAGATGCTAACACTAAAATGACGTTCACGTCCTCAGAGTGCAAGCAAGATCCTCGATCAGCCCGTGACTTTACACACGCTAAAGAGGGTCACCTCACCGGCACGATCCTCGCCTCTGCTTCCCTGGCAGCAGGTCCGACAGCGGCTCGTTCCTCGCTCTCGCCAACGCACTCTCTCGCTCTCTCTCTCTTTCGCTCTCCGTCGATCGCTCGCTTGATCGACCGCACGCTGTCTCCGCTCGCACGCAAAAGCGGCGTTGATCCCGTTCGATCGCGGATCGATGCCTGCACCCCCAGCCCGGGGGTGCGCAACACAGCGGCGCAGTCGGCCGCGACCAATCACGGCGCCGCGGAGGTCCCGCCGTGGCACGGGCGCGATCAAGTGATTCTTCAGGCGGGCGCCTCGCGCCCGCGCGAGGTCGCCCTATATCCGGGACGTGGCGGCGTGGAATCAGATGGGCGCGTCCTTCGCCCTTGAATTCCGGGACGAGTTGGCTATCTCGCCCCGGCAGCTCTCGGCGATGTCCCCGGGCCCTGGGGAAATCGCCGGCCGTA